CATCCTGTGATTTCTGGGGACAACACTCCTCCCAGCACTTGGAGAAGGGGCTGCCCTACTCCCCGACCCCCCGCAGCAGAGAGCAGAAAACGGGCAACGGGCTCCCCATGCTGGCGGTCAGGTAGGACTCCTGGATGTCTCTTCGCGGGCCGTGGGCTGCCTAAGTCCAACTCCTGGCTTCACCGCCACCCAGAAAATGATGCAGAGTGACTTCCAGCAGCCTGGATCGAGGAGGGCAGCCCCCAGGCACTGGATGCAGGTCTGTGGCGTCCCGGGGTTACCTGGCAGCTGCTGGTGTAGTGGTGAATGATCTTAGAGGTGATGGGGTTGTCCGCATGGGTGAGGAGCATCTGCGGGTGACAGTGTGAGGCCACACAGCTGTACATCACCATGAGCGCGCTCTTCACCGTCTCCCGCCTCCAGGGATGGTCCTTCTGCAAGGACGAGAAGGGGGAGAAGCACCGGTGAGGGGCCATCTGCTCAACTTGCCCTCTGGGAGGCAGCAGGTTCTGCCCCAGCTGTGTGCGGACAGTCTCTGGTCGGAAGACCAAAAGAGCTGTTGAGCTGGATAAAGGTGCCTGAAATACTCACTTATTTACTCATTCATTCGACACTTCTGTATTGAGCACTTACAACACGCCGGGCCCTGGGTGCAAAGCGGTGAGCCACAGACCAAGGCCAGGACTACCTGCTGGCTGCGAGCAGGTGTTTAGTGGACAGCCCTATACACAGGCTGGCTGTCCTCCCTTCATGCCTCCACCTGCCAGGCACCTGTGCTGGGCCAGGGGCTCTCATGATTCTGGGGATCCTCTTGGGAGGAGGTGTTGGGGGCCGCCAAACTCAACACGAAAGGTGGGGCAGGAGCTCCCAAGCCCTGCCAGGCCGTGAGGAGAAATCCAGGTCTCAGGTCCTGCTCCATGGAGAAGCTTGGGCAGAAGCCTGGGACACTCTGAATTCTTTCCATCCAAACTGCCAGACCGCTAGGGCGAGGACCCAAGGTCAAGGTCAAAGCTTAAGGCATCCGTGACTTCAGATGGTTGCCCACTGCGGGCTCGGCCAGCCTGTGGCACTGCGCCCTGTGGCAGGAAGTTGGGCTAGAGGCCAGCCATGGGCCACTTGTGTCCAACTCCTGGTTTCACCACCGAACAAGCTTCTGTGTCTCGTCTACACGGCAGTGGGCATTACAGCCGCTCCCGCCCAGCCCCATTGATTCGCCAAGGCAGAGCTCTTAACACGTGGAAACCGCCTGCAGCTCCTTCAGCTCCAGTGGGTTTGGGTGAGGCCTGAGACCCTGCATTCTCAGGCAGTATCATGAGTGGCTAGGCCTCCTCTGCAAGATGGGACATGGAAAGGCCCTCCCCGTGTTCTTTAGATGACCCACCTGCAAAGGCTTGGTTGGAGGCGGCCTCCGGATCTCAGTCATTTCGATGGCAGGGGACACAGAGGGGAATCTCTTACTGTGACGACCTCAGTTGGGTGCTGAGAGCACCGCAGCTCTAATCGGGCCCGGGAGACCTGCCTGTGGGGCAAAGGGGACCTACCCGCCAAGCGCCGATCTGCCAGGATTGCTCTGACTCCTGGATCCTCTCCTCGAAGTCATGGAGCACGTTCAGCACCGTCTTGACCTGGCCCCGGGCGCACAGGCCAAAGCACAGAATCACGCCCTGCGTGGAGACCCAGCCAGCCGGGGTGAAGGGGCGGGCAAGGGGTACTGCAGGACCCCCCATTCACGAGTGCGCATGCACACACACAAACAGGTTCATACACACATGCACCTATGCACACACGCACAGGCACACAAGTGCCTGCACACAAGGCAGGCATGCACAGCGCATGTACACACACATGCACGCACAGACCTGCAGAGTGACTTCCAACTGCTTGGATGCACACGCATGCGCCTACACACAGGCATGTACACACGCGCACACATGCATGCCACACGCACGCATGCATGCACTACACACACAGATGCACCCATGCGCCTCAACCTGCATGTGCACAGACATGTAGGCACGCACACACATGAACGTCCCTACACACGGGCGTGTACACAGACGCATACACATGCAAGCACTCACACACTCATGCATGCACACATGCACAGGCACACACATGCACATACGCATGCATGTACACCCACTCACGGGCACACGTGTGCATGTGCGCACGGAGGCACACACATGCATGCACATGCCCTATCCCCTGAGGGCGCGGAGGGCTCTGGCAGAAGGAGGGGGCTGCGAGGCACCCTGACCTCCCGGTCGAAGTCATTGCCATAGTCCGTCTTGTACAGCAGCTCCAGCAGCAGCACCTCCACCTTGTCAGCCTCCAGGCCCGTGGCCAAGGTGAACCCCAAGGCCCTGTACAGAAAGCCCTAGAGAGGCAGAGGACAAGGGAGCTTCAGGCCTCCCTACTGCGCCTCCAGGGGTCGCTGCTTGGGGAGTGTGATACATACTGTTTCTCTAGTGTTTGTTTTAAAGTGCAGATATCTCTGCATTTTGTATATTTTTTGAAAGAAATGTTCAGATTATTCTGGAGAGATTGGACTGTATGACGGCAAGCATGTTATAAATAGTGAGGGCCAGATTTCTCTCCTATATATGTTGAACCAAGTTATACTCCTACCAAAAACTCTAAAAGCACCTATTTTCCCATGTTCTCTCTCACGTAAGACATTACCAGTGAGAGGTGGGACAACTGCATTTTCATTTGTTTCTTTATTAGTCATGTTGGTCATCTTTGCATATTTTCATGATCCATCCTTTGAATTTCTGTCTACATCCTTCCCCCATTTTCTATCGGATTATTTCTCCTATTTTATTTTTCATTTGTAAGAACTTTGTGCTATATTTGGAGAAATAATAGAACAGACCTATATTATTTCATTCAACCCACGCAACAACTCTAGAGGGTAATTATGAGCCAGGATTTAAAATCAAGCACAGTCTGAGGTTCATCCCTTAACGATCACTTCTCAGGAGACGCAGCTGGCAGATCTGTCTCGGTAGGATATTTTCGCAATGTCTCTTTGCCCTTTCGATTTTATTCGTAGCAATTTTGTTTTGTCGCACAAGAAATTTTCATTTTCACCGAGAAAATGTCTTTCTTTTCCTTTGTCTTTCTTGTTTCTTTTCATGCATGTGAAGGCCTATTCCATGTTAAGATTCTAAAAATATTCATCAATATATTCTTCTGATCGTTCCACAGTTTTATTTTGCACGCGTAAATCTTGGACTTTTCTGAGGCAGCAAATACTTCCTTAATGGGCTTCGTTTTCACTATGCTCTTAGCTATCCGCTGACATTTTTTTTCATTCAGGTGAACTTGGAAATAATCTTGTCAAATTCCACAAAATTGTCACATTTCCACACACACACAAAACGCTCCTTTTGGGAATTTGACTGGCAGTAAATAATTTACTTCCAGATTAATTTGAGAGCAGTGGACACCCTGACCACACTGAGACTTCCCATTTACGAACGAGAGATGGTATCTATTTTATTACGGCTTCTTTTAGCTTCCTTGCCTCTCCTTGGAATTCTGTGTGTTCACATCAGTTTCACGTTATTTCATATATTCAGTATTTTACAACTGAACATGAATTGATTATATATTTTGCGTTACATTGCCCCTTTGAACAAGATCTGTTTTCATTATATGGTACTCTTGTTTTATTCGTATATAGGAGGAAAATGACTTCTGCATATTAATTTTGGAACGAGACTGGCTCCCTCTACTGGGGTTGTCAGTCTGGAGACTACTGATTGTCTTCTCGTCCCCACCTGGAGGATGCCAGTTGAGCAATGAAGAGCTTGGAAGGGTCTTGATCAAGTTCCTTAAGCCACTGTATCCAACTGTGTCTTTAAAGTTATCCGAGCCCCCAAAATTCTATTTATTGACTTCCCTTAAGCCGGGTGAATTATCATAATATGGTTAAATTGTGTGCGTTCGCTTATTAAATACTATATACAACTTTCTTTCCAATGGACATCTGGTCTTAATATCTGATAAGAGATTGTACTTGCAAATCTATAGCATTTAGCTACAGAAAATATCCGTAAGATATAATTTACTATTTGTGATTTTTACATACTCACCTTTCAAGGATGTATATTTGAACAAACACAAATTTTTTGGTCGACCCCTGTAAAAACCTGTTTTTAAACATCTTCATTGAGGTATAATTTGTATACCACAAAATTAACCCATTTAAAGTTTACAGATACAATGATGTATTCACAGAATGATGCAACCATCACCACAGTGTCATTAAGGAACACTTTCCTCACCCCAGAAGGAAACCCCGGACCCGCTGGCAGTGAACCCACATTTCATCTTCGCGGAGATGCCCATCGTGGACATTTCAAGTCAATAAAGTCATGTAATACGTGCCCTTTTGTGTTCCTTTGCCTCTGGCTTCCTTCGCTTAGCATAACGTTTCAAAGGCCATCCTCTCTGTACCGTACGTATACCAGCACTTCATTCCTGTCGTGGCTGAAGACTGTTCCATTGTACGGATATGCCACCTTTTGCTTCTCCACTCATCGTGGATGGACATTTAAGTTATCTCCACTTTGGGGCTATTTAAGTAATGCTGCTACGAACATTCATGTACAAGGTTTTGTGTGGATATATGATTCCATTCTCCTGGGCGCATATAACTAGCAGTGGGATTGCGGGTCGTACGTTAACTCTATACTTAACATTTCGAGGAAGTGCCAAACTGTTTTTCAAAGCTACTGCACCATTTTACATTTACACCAGCAATAGATGAGGGTTCAAATGTCTCTATATTCTTGCCAACACTTGTCATTATCTGCCTTTTTTATTATAGCCATCTTTGTGTGTATGGAGTGGTATCTCATGGTGGTTTTGATTTGCATTTCCCTAATGGTAATGATCTTGAACGTTTTGTCATGCACTTTCTTGCCATTTGTGTGTCTTATTTGAAAAAATGTCTATTCAGATACTTTGCCCATTTTTAACTGTCTTATTTGTCTTTATTATTGAATCATAAGAGTTCTTTGTATACCCTAGATATATAAAGTCTCTGATCAGACACTCGATTTGCAAATATTTTTTCTCTCATTTTGAGGGGTATCTTTTCATTTTCTTGATGGCACTATTTTCAGCATAAGAGTTTTTCATTTTGATGACGTTTAATTTATCTAGATTTTCTTTTACCATTGGTGTGTTTGGGTGTCACATCTCAAAAGGCATTGCCCAAGGTCATGAAGATTTACACCTGTGTTTTCTTCTAAGAGTTGTATGCTTTTAGCTTTTACATGTACATCTAGGATCCATTTTGAGTTAAGTTTTGTGTATGGTGTGAGGAAGGTGTCCAACTTCATGATTTTTTCAGGGGATGTACAGTTGTCCCAGTACCATTTGTACTACGAGACAACCCCAGGTGGAGACTATTCTTTGCTCGTTGAATTGTCTTGGCACCTTTGTCAAAAATCAGTTGACAGTAAATGCGAGGTTTACTTCTAGACTCTCAATTCTATGCCATCAACCTATATGCCGATTCTTATGCCACTGCCACACTGTCCTGTTTGCTGCAGTTGTGTCTAAGAAGTCTTGATACTGAAAAGTTGGAGTCTTCCAACTTTGTTCTTTGTTATCATGATTATGTTGGCTATTCTGGGCCCCTTGAATTTCCATGTGAATTTCAGCTGGTGGATCTTTAGGAGAAAAAAAGTCCAGCTGGAATTATAATAGGGGTCATGTTGATTCCACAGATACATTTGGAGAGTGTCGTCATCTTAACCTCATTGCCTTCCAATCCATGAATATGGGATGCTTTCCAGCGATTGAGACCTCTGATATCTTTTAACAATATTTATAGTTTTGTAAATACCTTTTCGTGCTGAAATAGCTCGATATGGTTATGCGCCAGTGTCCAGATGAGTCAGGTGTAAGAAACCATATCCAGCAATCTGTCAGCTGGGGGTGGAGACGGTTGGGAGTCCAGCTTCTAACCCCAGGTTGCCCAATCTTTCTTCTTCCTCCTCCAAGCTTTATCTTTCTTACCACTACGCTAGAACCTGGCGACCCCTTTGGCATTCCATGGTTCAGTGCCGTTCTCGCCGTGTTCACTATTTACCAAAACACTGTTCAGACATCTCCACCCTTGCCTGTTGGACTCTGCTACGAGACAACCCCAGGTGGAGAGTGGAGTGAGAAGGATGGGCAAGCTGATGGCTGGAGAAGAGCTCCCCAGCTCCACCAAAGCAGCTTCTTAAAGAGAATCAAAATAAAAACCTGAAACTCACTGATCTGGACCACCCCGTCTCCTCCCAGGCGCATCTGCTCTACCTAACACAGTGTGACCCTGTGCACACCAAAGCCCCTTTCATCCCCTTCACTGCTTGCACTGCCCTGCCAGTGTGGGGACCAACCTTCTCCAGAGGGGGCCATCAAAGCTCTCGATCTGGTTGTTCAGCTCTTTGCTCAGACGTAGGCTCCAGTTTGAACCCCGCGTCTTCTTGAGGGAGTTTCTCAGAAACTGGAGAGGCAGGAGACATTAGTGCTCCAGAAGGGCTGTGTGACCTTGAGTAGCGGCCCCGTCCTCTCTAGCCACCTTCCTCATCCTCTGGATCCCCCGACCCATAAAGCCCAGATCCAGTGCTAACATTCCGTGGGCCTGCGCATCTGGGAGACAGCTGCAGCTTGGAGGGCTTGTGGCGGTGTCAGCCTTGTGCTGATTTCCTGAGTGAGTGGAAGGCCTTTAGTTATCCCCTGCTGGTAGGTAAAGCTGTGGACATGCCTGTCACCCCCAAGTTCTCTGGCAGAAGGACAATGAATGTGTCCTTTAGGGGCTCTCAAACTCCCCACCGGCTGGGTCACCTCTTTACCTGAATCAGCTTGTCCTCCCAGGTCTTCTGATACCAGGAAAACTCGGTATGTTCTGCAGAAAGAAGGGTCACACACGCCACTGTCTTCTGCCACTTCCCTCTGGGGCACCTCCTTAGCCCGGGCCTGAAAGCCCTCCACGGACAGGCTTGCCACACTCTGCATTTCCCTCCCGACCTTGCCAAGGACCAAAACAGGCTGTGCTGATCCACCTGGAACCTCAGCTCCTGCTGTTCAAACCACGCGATTAGCACCCCAGCCCGTACACTGAGAGGGCGGTGGGCTCGGGGTGGACGCCTGGGCGCCTCACCTTCCAGTACTTGACCAGCAGGGGAATCTCCAGCTCCCCCGTGTCAGCCATGGCGGGCGCAATGCTGTGGCTCAGGGTACTCAGGAGGTTGAGCATGGCTATCCCACGGCCCTCGCCCTTGTAGGGAGATGACATCAGCACCTGGAGGGCACCAAGACTCCAGTGGGGCTCTGCCTGGGCTGGGCAGCCCCGGGCACCTCACTCCCGGAAAGGAGAGGAGAGACAAGACCACGGGGTCCCTCCCCACCCCGGGCTTCCAGAGTCCACACCAAGAGGAAGACATCGGCCCGCCGTGGGGGTAGGCAGGCCACTGTCCTGGGGATGCTTTGAGGCTGCTCAAAGGCTGAGCAGAGGAATCTGAGGGCAGGTCCAAGCACACTGTCCCTGGCATGTTTCCCAGAGAGGGACACCAGGGACCAGGAAAGCCCTGTTGTGCCAAGCGTCCAGCTCCTTCCTCCCTCTTGGGGTTCTGGGAACTAGGAGCTCAAAGAAGTGCCACAGGACGTGGCCTCAGCAAGGCCAAGGCACAGCCCAGGTGAGCCACTCACCAGGAGACGGGCTAGCAGCTTCTGCGGTGCTGGCAGGTCCACTGAGGAAGAAAGAGATTTAACCCGCACTGAGCACCTGGCCCAAACCAGCGTGCGTCCTCGTGTCCCCGAGGGGGCTTTGCCCTGGAAGGCGCTTCCCCAACACCATCTCATTGACCCACAATGGAGAGTGGGTCAGCGCAGGGGCTTTTCATAAAGGAAAACCTTTT